CCTAAACCCTAAACCCTAAAACCACGCTCAGAAGAGGTAGCCTTGTTGACCTCATGCGAGAGAAAGGGGGCTACTGCATTAAAAAAAGCCCTCAGCCCTAAATCCTAAACCCTCATCAGAGGGCGCCGGCGGCTCGCTCTGTTTGTTTTGTACCACTTTCAGAAGTCGGCGGCGGCCATGACATCTTCATATCCCTGCACTTCCCTATTTTCCGTACGGTTTAGGGTGTAGGGTTTAGGTTAAGGGTTTAGGGTTTGGGGTTAAGGGTTTAGGGTTTAGGGTGTAGGGTTTAGGGTGTAGTAGAGTTTTAGAAGCTTATTGTTGGAGTTCGATGCTTTCTTTAGCAATCCAAGGCTTTCTGGGGTCTGGCAAGACGACCTTGCTGAACCATATCTTGAGAGCTGCTCAGCTGCGTTAGAATTGTGGTTTAGGGTTTAGGGTTTAGGCTTTACGACTTGAGCTTCTTTGTTTCTTCTTGACTTCCTCGCCCCACAAGTCTCTCGATCTGAGGAGTCGCAAACCAAGCGGTATGCGGTCATCGAGAGCCTCGGACTTGATCTCTTGAGGTGCGGTGTTGATGCGCCAGCCTTCTAAACCCTAAACCCTAAACCCTAATCAATTTTATTGGAAACCCCTTAGTGGGATTGGGATGGGGACAGCCTTTTCATTCAGGTTCAACCCTTGTGTGGCCTAGTCCAAGAATCTCCTAGGGCAAACCTTGTAAACCCGAAACCCTCAACGGCCTAAACCCTAAACCCTTGAATCGCATAGAGTATGCAAGTTGAGCCGTCTACCCTGTAGTCGCACCGGCCGGAAAGAAAGAGCTTCTCGAAAGGGTGTATATAGTATAGTATATGATAGTATACGATAGTATAGTATATGCTATTGTATATTGTAGTATATTATCGTATATTATCGTATATTATAGTATATTATAGTATATTATAGTATATTATAGTATATTATAGTATATTATAGTATATTATAGTATATTATAGTATATTACAGTATATTACAGTATATTACAGTATTATAGTATATTATTATATTATAGTACATAGTATATTATATTGTATGATAGTATATTATAGTATAATATCGTATACTGTAGCATGTCAAAGTATATTGTACTAGATTATGGTATGTTATAGTATATTATAGAATATTAGCCCAGGAACGAATTTGGCGAGATCGGCATTGACGACAAGCTCATCGCGCGCAGGGAGAACCTGGGTGCAGAGCAGATCATCGAAATGAACAACGGCTGCATCTGCTGCACCGTGTCGGTCTCAGGGACCTTCGTGGAGTCTCATATGGGTAGTTTTCCAAATTAGGGTCCCTCGTTAGGTCCCCAATATAGTGCGGCACCCTTAAAAAAAGGACCCTGAAATGGGACCCTAATTTAGAGAACTACCCATATGTTGCCTGTCGTATGGCGCAAGATCCCTGTGCGCACGAAGGTGCGTGGTGATCTCATCCAGGGACTCAGGACAGATCCAGTGCCTGACAGCGACATCGTACTAGCGCCATGCGCGCTTAGACCCAACTTGCGCCTGGACCAGCAGCATCATAATGTGTACTACAACATCTACTTTAGTCTGCTCTAAGACAAACTGTCTTCTACTATATTTTACTATATATATACACGAAAATATACTCTAACATAATCAAATATATACTTTGAATGCCCCGTGGAATGCTTAACTTGCCACAAGAGAGGGTGACGTAAACCACAGGGCAAACATCAGGGAAAGGTGGGAGCAGGACCGCTTGAATATTAGGGAAAGTTTGAGACAGGATTGTTC